GATATTCCTTGCTTTCAGTCAGGATCCATCTGACATGAGCAATGATATTCCAAGTGTCATGGCCTCTTCTAAATCCAGCTTAAACATTTGGCAGTTCTGTCTACATACTGTTCTAGCAATTTTTGAATGATCTTCAGCAGTATTTTCCTTGCATGTGATATTAATGATATTACTGAATAATTTCCACATTCTGTTGGACCACCTTTCTTAGAAATGGGCACAAACATGATCTCTTCCACTTAATCAGACAGGCATCTGTCCTCCAAATTTCCTGGTTATACCAGTGAGCACATCTAGGGCTACATTTGTCATTTGAAACATTTCCATCAGTATCCTATCAATTCTCAATGCAACAATTCCTAGATAGCAACAACAGAAGAAATTATTTTATACCTTGCATCTCCCATTTTCTTTTGGTACAAGGCCCAACCCTTGGGTACAAGGCCTGACTCTCAGACTTGTGCTAAGCTTTGCTCAAAGCTCTTGGACCTCAGGGTTCCTTAGAAGCTGATTAATAAATATTTGCTAGATGAAGAAACATTTATCTAGTGAAGCTAAAAAATATAAATTTTTAATATGAATTACACACTAAAATAAAAAATAAGCCTCCAAATCCTCACAATTATCTATAACTTTTAATGAATTACACAATAAAATTAAGAAGAGAAAAAAAGCAACCCATAAACAAGCCACCAAAACCTAACAACAATTAATGGAGACAAGACTGATTTTCAAAGATTTCATTTTACTTGGATTCACAATCAATAGCAATAGAAGCAGTAATCAATAAATCAAATGGTATCTTGCATTGGAAAGGACTTGCAATATTGCATATTGCAAGGACTAGGTGCACCTGACCCAAGTCATGATAGCTTCAATTACTTCATATGTACATGAAATCTGAACAATGAACAAGTATTGCTGAAAAGGAATTGATACTTTTCAACTAAGGTTAAAATATTGAATATAATATTGAATACACTATAGACTGCCAAAAGAACAAACAAATCTGTCTTGGAAGAAATACAGCTAGAATACTTCTTAGAAGAGAGATGATGAGGCTTTATCTCATGTACTTTGTCCAAGTTTCGAGATGTGCCAGTCCATGTGGAAAGACACCATGTTCCTTAAGTAGGGAGTCAGATAATGATAGAAAGACCCTCAAGGAAGGAACTATCGAAACAAACATGGATTTAAGCACAGCAGAGATGGTGAAGATGGTGCGTGTGAACAGGGTTTTCTGTCGTGTATGCAGGGTTAGTATGACTTGGAGCAAACTTGGTAGCACCTAAGAGCAACAAAATGAAAGAATGAATAAAATCCAAGAAAGAGGTTTTCTGTGTATAGTTGTTACTGCTTGGTCTCTAGAGGAAGACTTGTCTTTATAAACATTAGTTCCCCTGTTTACCACCTATGAAAAGTTGGGCAAAATAATTTCTCTGCGACTGTTTCTTTCACATTAGTAAAAGGGAAAAATAATGTGACATGATCCCTAACAGTCAGTTGCAACTTCACAGCACTGAATGAAAGAAACGTTAAGATTCTTTGACACAGATTAGCAAATTTATGAGACATAAGAATATCCACAAAAAAGCTTATCTTTTATTGTTACTTCTAAGACAATGCCATTTTCCAATTTACAAGCATAGATATAAAACAAATATATAATTCATTGCTTGTATTCATAGAACTACAGTTTTAAAGCAGGGTTTGAGGCCTTGAACACCAATGATAGAAGACCCGATGAGTTGTGGGATGATATCAAAGATATCATCCATGAAGAATGTAAAAGGTCATTACAAAAACAGAAGAGAAAGAAAAAATCAAAATGGATGTCAGGAGAGACTCTGAAGATTGCTCTGGAATGTCAAGAAGCCTAACCTAACGGAAAATATGTCAAAGAGAAAGAGGTGAAAAGACAGTTTCAAAGGGCAGCTCAGGAGGACAAATCAAAGTATTATAATGGAATGTGCAGAGAGCTAGAATTGGAGAATAAAAAGGGAAGAACTTGCTCTACATTTTCCAAATTGAAAGAAATTGAAAAACAATTTAAACCTCATGTTGCAATGTTGAAGTATCTTATGGGCAATATATTGAATGACCCAGAAAGCATCAAAAGAATATGGAGGTAATACAGAGAGTCACTGGACCAGAAATAATTGACATTGAAAAATTTCAAGATGTACCATATGAACAGGAGCCAATGGTAATGAAAGATGAAGTGGAACCTGCATTGAAGGCATGAGCAAAAAATAATGCCCCAGGAATCAATGTGAAACCAATTGACTTGTTTCAGTTAACAGATACAGCCTTGGATGCACTCACCAGACTATGCCAGGATATTTGGAGGATGGCTGGCTGGCCAACAGATTGGAAAAGGTCAATATTTTTTTCCTATTCCCAGAAGGATGATCCAACTGAATGTGAAAATTATTGAACAATATCTTTGATATTACATGCAAGCAAAATACTGCTGATGATTATTCAAAAATAGCTGAAACAGTACATAGATAGAGAATTACCTGTAAATCAAGTGGGATTTAGAAGAGGCCATGGCACCAGGAATATAATTACTGATGTCAGGTGAATTTTGGCTGAAAATAAGGAATACCAGAAGAATGTCTATTTGTGCTTTATTGTCTTTGCAAAGGTGTTTGACCATGTGGATCATGACAAGTTGTGGCTGACACTGAGAAGAACAGGAATCCCAGAGCACTTGATTGTAATCATGAGGAACATATACCTGGATTTGAAGACTTCTGTACACACAGAACAGGGGAGCATTGCATGGTCTGGAACTGGGAATGGAGTGAGTCAGAGATGTATTCTGTCTCTGGACCTGTTCAATCTATATGCTGAGCAAATTATCTTAGAAGATGAACTCTATAAAAGAGTTCATATATTGTGACTCATCAATAACCTGCATTACACAGTTGATAAAACCTTGCTTGCTAAAAATGAGGAGGACTTGAAGTACTGGTTGTAGAAGGTCAAGGAATATAGTCTTCAGTATGGACTGTGTCTCAATATCAAGAAAACAAAAATTCTTAATACTGGGTGAGTAGGCAGGGTCATGATGGATGGAGAAGAGATTGAAACTTGCCAACAGTTCATCTTGCTTGGACCTATAATTAACTCTCATGCTACCAGCAGTCAGGAACTAAGGAGACACATTGCACTGGGAAAATCTGCATTTAGGGAACTTTACAAATTATTGAGGAATAGAGCTATCAGTTTGAGGACAAGGTGTGTCTGATTCAGACCATAGTATTTTCAATTACTAGCTATACATCTGAGACCTGGAAAATGAATAAAGATGATAGACAAAGAATTGATGCCTTTGATCTGTGGTGTTAGAGATGAGCACTGAACATCCCATTAGCAGCCAAGAAAATGAACAAATATGTCTTGTAGAGGGTACAGCCTGAGTGACCTTTGGAAGCAAGAATGATGAGGCTTTACCTTACATAGTTTGAACATACTGCTAGGAGGTGCTATTCCTTGAAGAAGGACATGATGTGGGGAATGATGGAGGGTCAGTGAAAGGGAGGAAGACCCTCAACCATGTGGATTGACATGGTGACTGCTACAATGGGCTCTTGTGTGTCAGGAAGTGTGAGAGTTGTGCAAGACAGAAGTAGGTTCAGATCTTTGGTTGATAGTGTTGCTATGAGTTGTACTCAACTTGATGGCACCTAACAACAACAACAACAACAACGTTGTGAGGAGTTGCACTGTGAAACCAAAAGCGCATAGTTCAAATCCAATAGCTATTCTGACAGAGAAAGATAAACAATTTCATCTCACTTAACTTATAAACTCTGAAAATTTGTTGAAGGGTCAGCTATGAGTTTGTTCCAATCTGAAAGCATATAAATACAACAATTACATACACAGCTTGTCCATTCGGTAGACTGAGAGTTGCTGCGACCACTTTGCAGATGGAGAAATGAAAGATCACAACATCAGAGTCTCACCAAGTAAAAATGCGGCTGAGGCAGGTGCTAACCTGACCCTACCTGATAGAACTTTTCACATTCATTTTCCCCAAGTCACATTAAAAGGGCAAACAAAATTCACGAAGATGGAGGAAACGTTCCATCAGACTACCTGGGAACACATGACATTCTCCTGTATGTTCTAGGGAACATAAAAATTGATCAGGTCTTGAAGATTGAAAGTAAAGAGAGAAAAGTAATTTTCAGACTGTTCTTTCTAGCTGTCAGGTAGGAAATAACAAAAACAACTCTAACTCACAGATGTATTTTATCAAGTTTTCCTTCTATGAAGAAAGAATAGCAAAATAATATACTTCTAAAGATGATAATACAATAGGCTTAGATGTGGGCGACAAGCTATTTTCAAAGTTTCTAGGTATAAGCATCAATAATTTTTAAAATGTTGTGTGAGAGAGACTAAACATCTTGGGACTGGAGAGTAATCTTATGTAACACCTGCTGTATGCCAGACAGCTCTGGCGGCATAGCCCACAGCAGTTGAGCTTACTCAAACACCACACTTCTCTCGCAGTTCAAATCCAACATTTGATCCACAAAAGAAAGATGGGCACTCTCCTCCTGTAATATTTATAGTCTTAGAAAACCAATGGAGGGTTAGCCATGAGTTCATTTTAACTCAGTATCAACGTGACTCAGTATCAGGCCTGATCTTAGAGTTTTCTCATATTATTTTCTTTAACCCTCCAACTCTGGTATGTAGGCATAGTCATTCCTATTTGTTTGATGGAAAAACAAAGACTGCGAGATCAGCTGACTTCTCAAGGTCCCAAAGTACCTACGAGGCTGAACTAGGATCTGAGTCCACTCCTTTCTTGCTCCAAAATACTCAGCTTGTTCCACTGAACAGAGTTATAGCTGTTGAATTTCCCCATGTGCCTGGGGGTGGGGGGATGGGGGGGATAATAACCTTAACTATGACACAGCAAATGCAAGCTTACCCTTAACTTACCCATGTTCCATCTGATCCCCACCTACATTTACTCAAAGAAGTTTTACAAGGTGCCGCTCTCTCAGGGCCCGAGAGCCGAGCAGGACCCTCCCGTCCCAGCAGAAATGCCAGCATTCCTGCAGCATGAGCACCACCCTCTGAATAGGGTCTCCGGTGGTGGTGTTCAAGGCAGCCCAGCCTTGAGGACAGGATCTTGGTGGGTATGGTAGGAAAGGGTCCTGGGTCCTCACAGGAAGCACAGCACCATTACTGCTTACACACAGCAGGAAGTCTGTGCAGTAGCCTGGAGGCACAGTCAGGTCCTGCCAGTACTTTTCCTCTCCCAGAAGTTGTCGCAGCCCCTCAGCTACTATATCCTTGTGACTGTACTTGCAGCGGGCACGATCAGTGGTGAGTGGCTGGGGTAAGATGGGCACTTGCTGCTTCTGGGGAAGGCGGGGACCCCAGTATCCTGGGAGCTCCAGCTCCACAGCTGTGTCGATCAGAGAGAGGTAGCTACGCACAATCAGAGCGTGAGGTGTACCACTGATGTGGTTGATGAAACTTGGTGAGAAGACAAAGCGCAGGGCTCGGAAGGGCAGGCACTGCAGCTGGCACAGTGACATCAAGATATTGACAGTAGCTAGGACTGCCATACCTGCTTCACGAGCCAAGATCCTCTCCAGACAGGGCATAAATTGCTGATCCAGAGGCAAGTAGTTCAGAGGCCCAAAGGGCAGAACCAGCTTCTGTACAGCCTTGCTGTTGAGCTGGGCTTCCTGGACAACTAGGAAGTGGGCAATGGCTTCCAGAAGCTGAGGCTCCCGCCACCGGGGTGGCGGGCCAGGTGCTGGGCCAGGAGCACCATTACGTGAGGAGTTAGTTCCTCTGGCCTTGCCTCTGCCAGGCTGCCTTAGTAATTTATAAGAAAGGTGGGTTAAAAAAAACAAACAAACAAAAAAAAACAAAACAAAACACAAAAAAACCTCATGAGCTAATTTTTGCAAAAGAGGTGGAACTTCTGTTTCAGATAAAATATATAGTACACAGGGGCCAAGGAATAAATGGTGCAGTCTGAGGGTCAGAGGGTGCAAAAGCTACAAATTTCAGTAAAACCAGCCTAGAAAATCACCAACAGGAGCATTCAAGTATGTGTAGCTGCCAACACCCACACTGGTGTTCCAGGAGAAACCCAGATCGCAAATATAAACTATCAGGAAAGCATATAGAACAACCGTATTTTAAAATAATATCCAAAACTGTATAATAATGGGTTAATGTGAGTTGTTTAGATACTAAATTCTAAAGATTATCAATTACAGATTGGCGCAGTAAAGTCTAGGATACTAAAACCAAAATTAGCATTGCCATCGCAATCCTAAAATTGCTTGTATGCTTTGATTTGAAGAACAACAGCTGATCTGGTCCTTGGAGAAATAAGAGGTCTAAGAAAATGGGTGGTAGAAATGGTTGGGATTCCAAAAAGGAGGAGCGGGGAAAGGGTAGAGCAGAGGCTGAGAATAGCTCATGTGAGGCTGTTAATAGGAGTCAAATGGTAACAGAAACTGAAAGGTAGAAACTGCACTGAGACTCAGCTCAACTGTCCTGCAGGTTGTAGGAGCAGTTGATTGATAATAACAGTGGTTATCCTTTACTGAATGTAAACACTGCACAAAGTTCTAGGACTGGTTGCTGTTATGTGTTGTTAAACAGGTTCTGACTCACTTTGTCCTTACGTACAACAGAAGACCAAGGAATGCAGCCTAGAGTATGGATTGCTTCTCAATACCAAGAAAACAAAGATTCTTAACACCGAATCAATAGGCAGTGTTATGATGGATGGAGAGGAGACGGAAACTGTCAACAGCTTTATGTTGCTTGGATTCACAATTAACAACCTTGGTAATAGCAGTCAGGAAATAAGGAGACACATTACAAAGGGAAAATCTGCACTTAGGGACCTTTCCAAATTATTGAGGAGTAGTGATGTCAGTTTGAGGACTAAGGTGAATCTGATTTAGACCATGATCTTTCCAATTACTAGCCATGTATCCGAGACCTGGACAATGAATATGGATGACGGAAAAATAACAGATGCTTTTGAGCTGTGGTGTTGGAGAAGAGCACTGAACATTCCATGAACAGCCAAGAAACCAAACAGATGTGTCTTGGAGAGGGTGCAGCCAGAGTGCTCTTTGGAGGTAAGAATGAAGAGACTTTGCCTCACATACTTTGGACATGTTGCTAGGAGGTGCTATTCCCTGGAGAGAGACATGATGTTGGGAAGGGTGGAGGATCAATAAAGGAGAGGAAGACCCTCAATCAGGTAGACTGACATGATGACTGCTGCAATGGGCTCTTTTGTGTCAGGCAGTGGTGAGGATGGTACAGGACAGGACTGGTTTCAGACCTTTTGTTCATAGTGTTGCTATGAGTTGCACTCTACTCAATGACACCTAACAACAACAACAATAACAGCAGACCAATGTGATTCTCAAAATGGTTTTGTGCTTGATTACATTGATGAAGCCACAGTTGGGTCAAACTACCCCACTGAGAGGTTTTTTTTCTTTAATCACAAAGTACTTTATGAATCATGATTGCATTATACCAGGTGCTTTCTATTCTTTACTTTCACACCAGATCTGCATGGTAATGTGATTCCCTTTAGTATAACAGCATTTCTCACAAAGTAGAAGTGTTGTGAGGGTAAGGACCAAGGTGGATTTGTTTACTAGGGGCTAACACAAGATTCTGCTATTGCTTTAAAATATTATTATTTTATTACTGTTATTATTTTGTTATTATTTTATTACTGTTATTTATTACTGTAACCCTGCAGTTCAAATCCACAAGTCTGTCCACATGAGAAAGTTGGGCAAGTTTCTCCTATGTGAATAACTATCTCTGAAAATGCACTGGAGGGTCTTCTGTGAGTTGGTTCTGACTTTACAGTACACAACAACAAAAGTAACAACAGTAGTATGTATTATTATCCGAGATATATATAATTATGCACATATGTCTGTTCTGATATCACTCTCTTTACTCTCATTGCATGTGAAACGGTAATTTGAATTTTATATAACAAATCAATTTTAAATTGAAGAGAGTACGAACAAGAAGCATCTTGACATTTTAAGCATGGGTTTCAGATTAAAACAGCCCTGGGCTTAAATCCTGGTTTAGTAGCTATAAATACGTGGGCAGGTAACTTAACCTCCTTAAGCCCTGGCTTCATCCTCTATAAAAATGAGGGAAACATCCATCTCATTGGGCTGTTGAGAGTATTAGGTGAGATAACTCGTATAATGTGCTTAGCACAGAAAAAAAAAAAAGGAAAAAAATAGTCATAAATGTCCGAGAAAAAGCCTATTACTTCATGAGGTCAGGGAAAGTTTTGTGGAGGGGACATCTGAGTAGAGTCTTGAAAGATAAATATAAGAATCGCTAGATGGATAGAACTGGGGGAGAGGCTGCAGGAAAGTTGTCCAGAGGGGCTCAAGAAACTGCAGGGAGCTGCAGGCAAGTGAGTAAAGGCAGATCACAGACCTGCATGGGGCAGGGGTTAGACCAGGCAGGATGGGATGAGAACCCAGAGTGATCCACAAAGATGCTGGATCTTCTCCTGTGATTAAGGAGAAGTCACTGGAGCATGTTCAGTGCTCATGGTCTAGGAATTACAGTATGACATCTTCAGGAAAGACTGCACCACATGCCCCTTTTCTCAACCATCTCCCCCATCTGAGCCTCTTGAGTTATTTTTTGCATCACACGGAAATCACAACAAGCCCATCATAGTTTAAATACATTAAAATAATTTAATCTTCTATACACCAATTGCTTCTAAAATTTTCTCTCTCTGGAAAAGAGATGTCAGCACACAGACCCTTTTCAAAACCCCTTTAGCAAAGAAGAGAGTAAATATAGCAGGTGATTTTAAAGGACAAGGTTGATGAAGAATCTCAAAAGTTATTTTATTGGCTTCATTTAGTAGGGAGTTTTGGATTTGGGCTTGTAAAAGTTAATCAACCCAAAAGTATCTCAGAGTACCAACAGAGCCAATGGCCTTGACTTGGCTCAAGTGAGGGATGCAAAAGCTTGAAATTGCAGACCCGTCGTAAGGTATATAGCTGGGGAAATAAAGAAAACAAACCAACCAACCACAAGACCCAGTAGAAAAACAACTTGCTTAACAAAGTGGAAGTTACAACCCAGCCAATTGCTACAGAGGATCCTGGTTGTGAGAAAGGAGGTAGTTAGCCCAATGAGTTAACTATAATTTAGATGGCTGAAGGAGAGCCATTTTTCACCCCATAATCTCCAGGATTGGCTATTTAAATGATTATACATTTTTTAAGCAAATGTTAATAAGCAGTTGAGCATTAACATGGGTGTGTCATGTTTTCTTAAAATTTTGTCAAAGAGTACACAGTGTGTTAAAAACAGGAAAAATATGTTGTACACCACCACTCTTTCATATGTTAACACCTAAACTGAACAGTAAACAAGCTCAGAATAAAGTGCATATATTAATTGTTACAAATGACAGATCGAGCAGCCTAAATTAACATCCATTTATGATCTTCCTCTAGGCTTGAGGTATAGGCACATCTAACCTTTCTGCTTTTGATTTTACAAAGTAGAAAGTAAGAGTTCAGCTAGACGGCACCCTTCTCTGCAGTTTGTGGTCCACTTTCAAACTCACACTGTCAGGGGCAGAGTTCAGTTTTTTGACACTGTGAACTGGGGACTGTTCCCAGATGTCAGAAGCCACTCAGGTATTATCACCTGGCATCCTCCACATGACTACTTGTGTTTCTAATTCCTGGCTTTCTGACTTTGAGACTCAGACTTATGGAACTCATACAACTATATTAATCGTACTCAGCTCATTTCCCCTTTGATGAATTCACCTTTGATTACATACACAAAATCCCTATGACAAAAACATGATATAATCACAGTAGAGAGTGTGGTGCCATAGTCCAGAGACAACTGCCCTGCAAAGCCCGAGGCTGCACTTCTCAGGTGGTTCAAATCCACCAGCAGTCCATGGAGAAAGATAAAAAATCTATTCCTGTGGGATTCAGTCTTCAAAACCTGAGAGTCAGATACAAGTTGATTCTTACTGGCCTACAATGCACTTTAAGGAATCACAATAAAAATGCCTGATTATAGTCACAAATTTCTCCTACAATCAAATGTAGGCAAACATACAAGGTGTGTGCATTAGGGAATGGAGATCTTAATGGACATCATAGAGTTCTCACCTACCACAACATACTTAGACGCTAAGGAAGAATGTAATTGATTCATGTAAAAGGCCTTAATTACTCGAAAAATCTTGAAGTCAGAACAATTATCACATTTTTTTATATAAATCTTAATTTATAACTCCCTTATATAAGCAAAAGAAAAATTATCATTTACTTTATGAGAAAGGGATTCAATGAAAATCCCTGTGAAATGGAAGTGGGGCTGACTTAACGGCCCTTACGGTAGGAAGAGGGATCATTTGCAATAAAGAGGGAAGAAAGCAAACATGAGGTTCAGGGTGACCTAGGAGAGGAAAGAGGGGAGTGATTTAGAAGAAGAAAAACTGACTTAGGAAAAAGAACCCTCTCATGAGATTTTTAATATCTTTGCCAAGTGATGTGAGCATTTTGTACCAAACTCCATGCTCCAGTTGCTATATGGAATCTGCAAAATAACCTACGTTTCCTTCTAATGCCCACTGTGTGCTTGGGATATTCTGGGGGGCAAGGGAACCAACAAGTGCTGAATTCTACATCAACACTAGTGTGGGTCAAGCACAGGTGAGTGCATGTAAGTAGAACAATGCACACACTTATACACACACTTACACAGAGAAATGCACACACTTTATAAAGGAATACCACGCTAACCAT